CACACACCTCTAAATGCATAAAGTGACACGCAAGATGGCAGGTTGTCATGATACCCTGTGACACTTTTTGTAGTATTCGGTGTCACTTGTTTTTTTCAGGACACTTTAAATGGGGCCAATAATACATATGAAACAAAGACTTCTGAAAACGATCTGTAAGTGCTAACAACCTCGCAGTACACTGCAAAAAATCCAGTTGAAATATCCAAATAACTTTAAAACAAGAATAATTTACCTAATAGGGATACTTCTTAAAACTCCCTCAGGGTTAAACATTTGGGTTTTACCGTTTTCGAATCCATTCAGCCAATTTTCTGATATTTAGTAGAATATCAGTATCCAGAGAGTTTCTGGTCTCATTGACTTCCATAGTAGGAAAAAAATAGTATATACTATGGAAGTCAATGAGACCAGAAACTGTCTGGTTACTGATATTCTTCTAAATATAAGAAAATCGACTGAATGGATTTGAAAACGGTAAAAACTCAACACTTTAACTCTAGGGGAGTTGTAAAATGAGCCTATTTCCAAAAAAAAGTGGAGTATCCCTTTAAGATTGCAATGAAAGATTTCACTTATTTTAAGGAAGACAAAACACAGCTGTAATTCAAGACAATCTATGAAAACAAGTTTTAATGTCTTATTCAGTAAATGTAAATTTAGATTTTTTCGAGATTTAAATTTTTTTTACTTGAAAACGAGACAAAACGCTGATTTAAAAACTCATTATGAAGTCATTATTGCTGTGTACTCAAGGGGGCGATAGAGTTACCTTAAAATGTCATTAAATCGAATTCAGGTAAATTTCTATGGCTGTGTCTGAGGCCCCGTCCACACTACTGCGTTTTCGTTTAAAAACGGAGACCTTTTGCTACGTTTGCACCTCCCGTCCACACTAAAACGGGAAAAACGAAGACCTAAAACGGAGAAGTTTAGAAACGAAGTTGAATCTCCGGAGGGCGTTTTAGTGTGGACGAGACAAAACGGAGGAGTTTACAAACGATGACGCAGAGGCTCACGCTCGACTCTATGATTGGGTGTTATCAGTCATGACGTGTCCTTCCCTGATTCGCCAACCACTGTTTACACCGGCGCGCGCATGCCCAGTGTTGGTGAATGGTCACGTGATCTGCGTTTTCAGTCGTTTTAATGTGGACTGAGATCAATTCTAATACGCAGATAAAACGCTGGTGTGGACGGAGATCGTATTCGTTTTAATTCTCCGTTTTTAAACGAAAATGCAGTAGTGTGGACGGGGCCTGAAAGTTATTGGACACACTCGTTATTGTAGTGCATTGTGGGATTGAATGAGTGCCCTCGATAATGTCAACTACGGTTTCGGACACCACTACAAATGGCTGTCCCTTCAAATAGTGCCATATTTAAGGCAATAAGGGCAATTTCGGACACAGCATAACTCTCTGTACTACCTGAGGAGAATTCATTTCAATTCATTTAATACCTGATTTTTTTTTTTGCAAGAGTATCAACTTAAGGTTATGTTATACAGCAATGACGTATTTTACCTGTCAGTTTTTACATGGATAAGTTAATTAAATACCAGCCAGCCACGAAAAAACTACCACAGGTCACTATGAGAGCAAAAAACATGTGAGACTCGGCAAGACCTCACTTGGGCTTGATGACCTATGGGAATAATTTCACAAGCGGTTCAAAGTGACCTTCTCTTCAACCCCTGACACAAATCTACTGTACTTTCCCAGCTTTTCTTGCCTGTCAGTGACGCAAGTCCTCACAGAAAAGCAATGCGGCCAGGGCTGGGTCAGGTTTGGACATAATATGGAACCAGAACGTCTGTTTTTAATGGAGCAATGAAAGATGTTACAAAATGGGCGCCCTCCGTCCCCTCCCAAAAGCAGCTGCAGGAGTGACAGACTTTGTCGTCATGCCAAGCAGGTCTTCAACACTCTTGCTGGGGATTCTTGGTCTGATCTTGCTCTAGTCTGATCACAGAGCAAACCCTGGCCTAATGACACCGTCTCACCACTCTTGACATGTGCGCTGGCGTTGAGTTGGCCAAGGCTATTTTTGTTTGGTGGGCAAGCTTGAAACTAGCGCTTCTGGTGGTTCTTAATGTCTTCTCTTTGGCTTGCAAAGCAAACATTCAGTGAATGTTTTATAAAAAGGAATGTACACAAGCCAAAAAGCTGTACGTCTTTTATCCCACTGTTACTAGTCAGATTGTACATTCATTTAGCTGATGCTTTTATGCAAAACGGCTTACAATTGCTATATATGTCGGAGGTCGCACGCCTCTGGAGCAACTAGGGGTTAAGTACAGTATCTTGCTCAGGGACACATTGGTGTCTCACAGTGGATTCGAACCCGGGTCTCATGTGTCTTATCCACTGCGCCATCACCACACCCCCCAGATTGTATGATCTGACCATGGTAGGACCTTGATCAATGGTCAATGATAATACGATATGCATCTTAGCAAACGTACGTCACGATTGACAGCATTGATTTATCAATTGCATCCGCATTGACATGCAAAATTACAGCAAAAACCCAAACAAGCTCTTGCTGTGCTCTCATTGGTTCCTCAATCGATGGTCATTGTAGGAACTTTGTAGTCGTCCTGCAGAACTGCCAAAAATTTCAGACAAATCTTCCGTCTAAAGGCATTTCACTCTAAATTTAGGTGTACACTTATGATTTTAGCTTGTCAATCAAGCTCCCAATAGATTTTTCGCATCAAAGTAAAAAGGTTGGGAATTGGTCGTGGCATGGATTGTGTATTACAAGCACCTGAACGACGTAGTTCACTGCTTCACTACCATGATGCATGGTTGGAGAAATCAACTAGCTAGTCACGACTGTTTCCCGAAACCCACTGTCGTTCAACCACGTCGGTTTCGCACGTGGTGGAGTTTAACTACTTTTAATGCAGAGGTCTCAAACTCGCGGCCCATTTTGTGGCCCCCTACTTGATATTAAAATGTAATGTTAGTGCGGCCCGTCGTTGCGTTTGCCGCGTTTTTTTTTTATTATTATTTTTATCCCTTATGGGCTACCATATATAGTCTCGTGACAGCTTACGGTGGGTTTGTTGTCAATAGTTGTCAGACAACCACGAAGTACAAATATACTGCGCCTGGAAAAAATGAGCGTGTGGCTTCAATTATGAGCGCACTGGGCGCTTGATGCGCGCCTACATTTGAAACGTAGCCTACTTGAGCACGCAAAATATGTGAGCTACCACCACCAAATCAGGCCACAGCTACTGATAGCTCGCGAGCGACGTGTTGGATACCTCTGCTCTAAAACAATGTGAGAATAATCATTTTGAGCTTGTAATATGTGTTGTGTCTGAACGCGTTCAATGAACGATAATTAATGAACTCGTTCATATTTTGGGCGAACGTGAACTGAACGTAGCCTACTGTATTACTGCCTGATGAACGTTACAGTGAACTCGTTCATTCTAGTGGCTGTGAACCGAGGAGCGAGGAGGCGTCGTAAGATTATTTAAAAGGGTTTTATGAGGTCGGTGAGGATGGGAAAATCTTACATGTCTGTGCAAACTTTGCCCGTCGATAAAATGATTGTTACCTGTGGTTGTATATTATGGGCTGTGGCAATAATAATAAAAAAGAAGCTTGCAGCAACATATGGAAAAAAAGAACTATGAACTAGTTTATTTTTGAAATATGAACTGAACTCGTTCATTTTAAAATTTGTGAACTGAACTTTGAACTAGTTCATGTAATGAACTTGGTCCAACAGGTTGATAAAAGTTTGCTTTGATATGTGCAAGCCTTAGACAATATACATGTGTAGAAAGAATTATTTGTATTTCAAAAGCAGTAATTGTTTTTCTAAGTATAATAAAAGGAAATGTGCCTTTCGGGGAAAAAAAAACATTCAATATAATAGTGTTGTATAAAGATGTTGTGTATAAGAAAAAGACAAAGAAAGTTTGTAAAATTAACTTCACCTGTCAGAAGGACAGCTCATGAAGAACCAATCATGTACAGAAAGGAATGTTCAAATTCAGAGGAACAGTTCAGAAGAAACGTTAATAATAAAGATTGAGAAGATTGGATCAGTTGTGCTCCATTTTTGGAAAACTTAAATACATGTTTTGTTTTTGTTTTTAATACTTGATGCGGCCCGGCCTGACCCAGACTCTATCTCCAGCGGCCCCCAGTTAATTTGAGTTTGAGACCCCTGTTTTAATGAAACTGTTTTCGATCCAATTAACGCTAGATTTTTTTTATATAAATTACAGACACGTCATCTGAGGACTATTTCAAATTGTTCTCAGTTGTTTCGCTTTATTACCAGACTCAATTTTTGGCTCGTTCTTACATAGTATGCACGGTACTTCAAACACGGTACTTCAAATCTTTAGAAAAACTAAAAGACGTAAATTACATTTGTATGTATTCTAAATAAAAGGCACCGGATGTACTGAATGTCAGCTTGCTTATTTTACTCAAGATAAGGATTAATTACGTCCAAATGTGATACAATATAGAAACGATGCCTCTAACCGCAGGTCGAGAGCTGTCGTTCAAACCACACAACTTTGCGAAGCTGTTTGCGAATGTTCGTTGGAACGATTGTTTCGGGAAACACCGACTCGTTGAACTATGGTGATAACGACGGAACTTGCGACCATAGTTGGCTAACGATGCTTTCGGGAAACGCAACCCAGATCAGTTTATCTATTTTGGACAACGTTGGTTTAAACTCATGTCAATTCAACAGATTTGTAACGTGTGCAAGTGCTCATCATGATTTTCAGAACTTGTGCACGTCCACTCTACATGAAAAAAAGCTAATTTTGCCCTACGACAAAATTTTTTACAATTCCTCAAAGTTGTTTGAGATAATTTGGCAAAATCGTGGTGAAAATTGTCGAGTGCACAGACTTCAGTCCTACAAAGATTTTGTTGAGCTTACGGTTAGAGGGTCAGGGTTAAGAACGTATTGTTTGGGTCAAATGTGGCAGGATAGATGCTCGGACCTACCTTGTTAAAGTGCTCTAGCTTTTCCTTCACGTTGACCAAGTTTGGATCCACACTTCTGACCTTTATCTCTGGGTTTTGTTTTTGGGCTTGCAGTCCATTCCCCACCACATGGCCTGTATAACTGTGGCAGAAACAGAGCAAGAGATAAGTTACCTTCATAAAAATCAAGCTCACTTTGGACTGATAATGATCTCCTAATTCTGAGTTCTGGAGTCCTAAAAAGGCAGGGAATGCTCAAGGCTTGTCTATTCCCAAGGATTAATCGGACACTCATACAGCCTTTTCACCCACATAAATGATTCATTATGAAACCCGCAGTGAAGCCTGAAGACACAACTGTGCTGCAAATGTAGGTATTGACTCTGCGCCCTTATATTAGAGATCATTGAGGCATCTGGAGGGCGGCCTTAAACAAAGGCCAAGTCGATGCAACCAAAACAATCCTGCTAAACAGTATTCAAGTGAGCGATAAACACATCTGGGTAGATGGACAATAAAACCATTTCATGGATCCCTGAGAATTCTATTTTTAAAGAAGAGATGTTGACGAGGAAACAAACTTGATTAAAAGGTCTCGATAGGTCTTCAATCTTTACTCTTTGGGGGGACATCTCAACATTGGCTGCCATGGTGACTGTCATAGTGTCATGCTCAGCAGCCTATAAGATCAATGGGTCAAGCTCGGGCAGGGCAGATAGGTTAAAACTTTGATTAAGCACGGAGTATGAACTTTAACAGAGATGATTGTTGGTATGGATAAATTACATGCATGTAAAGTTGTATGGATTTTATTAACTAAAATGAGCCAAAAATTGGCTTTAATTTCGTTTAATATATGTAAATGTATATCCAGAATGTTTGCTATGTGGTTGCTAGGGCGTTGCTAGGTGCTTATTTTCTGGTCCAAGTCAAAGGAGAACAATTTTAAAGGCCACAATTCAAATTTCCAAAATGCAAATAAAAAACAACATAGTTTAAATTATATCCACAATGTTGCTCTGTGGTTGCTAGGGTGTTGCTAGGTGGTTATTTTCTGGTCCAAGTCAAAGGAGTCTAGGATATTAGAATGTCCATTCTAATATCCTAGACTCCTTTGACGTGGACCACTTACAGAGACCTTTTGAAATGTTTGCAACTCCCGTCCAGACTAAAACGTAAAAAAACGAAGACCTAAAACGGAGAAGTTTAGAAACGCTTCAGCTGCGTTTTGCGTTTTGAATCTCTGGAGGGCGTTTTAGTGAAGACGGGACAAAAGGAGGACTTTAGAAACGATGACGCAGAGGCTCACGCTCGGCTCTGTGATTGGGTGTCCCTGATTCGTCAGCCACTGTTTACACCGGCACGCGCATGCCCAGTGTTGGTGAATGGTCACGTGATCCGCGTTTTCAGTCGTTTTAATCTGGACAGAGATCAATTCTAATACGCAGATAAAACGCTGGTGTGGATGGAGATCGTATTCGTTTTAATTCTCCGTTTTTAAATGAAAACGCAGTAGTGTGGACGGGGCCTTAGAATGATCTTACATTACTCTTACAAATTAGTTAAAATTAAATTCATCTCTAGGCCTATATGTCATGACAAAATATTTAATGAATGTAAGGGAACTTTTTATCAAGAGACAAAAACTAAAGCAAAGCAACACCTTTTATAACTGTTGCAATTTGCCAGTAAACATACCTCAATGTCAACAAAATTGAGGTATGTTTGTATATGCAATTGCTAGGTTATCATACAGAAGCTATTTCCAGCAACAACGTCCTTGAGACAGACATTCAGACAGACGGATCAAAGGGTTAACAGTGGGGGGCATATAAACCACGGCAGGGGGGCAGAATAATGCAGCAGTGTGCCTGCACATCAATAAATGAACGCTTGTGGGAGAATCGCCCTGCTGTTTTCACCACAGCTAATCTAAGTGAATAAATAATGACCCCAGACACCTCATGCTGCATCCGAACAGCATCCGCACACACGGCTCACTTTGCAAGGTGGGACAACTTTGTCAGGAACTGATGTGAGACGGACTTGTGCTTTTTAGCAGTCATGCGCAAATGCATTTTGGACGGCAGGTACGGTGGAGATAAGATATGTGAATATTCACTATGTGAGAGGAGCGGATTATGTGGCTTATTGAAATGAAGAATGAGCTGTCTGTGGATACTGTCATTTTTAAGGCTCATTCTTTCTTCGGTGCGCCAAATTACCTATCAGTATGCGCATAATTAAAGAGGAAACAATCTGCTCGATGTGTTTCAATAAACATGCATACAGCCAACCTTAAGATTCGGATCATCACAAATAGAAATGTTATGGAAATTTACAATATTATGACTGTTGAACTGGCCACAAAGTCAAAGTATGAATATAACATTTCCATGACATACTTCACGTTGAGTGTGTTGCATTTTTGATTAACCACAATACAAATCTATCAATGGTTTTGGATAGTGGATTACTACACATAAAACTAGCCCTACTTACTGCCTTAACAAATGTCATTGGTCCTGAATTAACTAAATCTAAATTAACAAAGCAAATTACATTTAGTTTTGCTAGGACATTCTTGATTTCTAGGGTTTTAAGGGTGGTTGCTGGGCATTTTTAGGTGGATGTGTACTAAACCAAGTCCAAAAAGAAAAGTCTCTACAATATTCTGGACTTTTATAGTATATGATCAAAAATATCCAGACTTGAGAAACTCCTTTTTTCAACATACTACACAAACAGCCCGATTTTTAACCAAGTGTAACCCCAGATAGCAAACTGACATTGAATCAACGTGGAAACATGACATCGAAACAACGTTGATCTGACATTGTTTTGCTCATCGAATTAACGTTGAACCAACGTCAGACACGTCATTCTTTCAAAACTAACGGAAAATCAACTTGAAATCAACGCGTTGTTTCAACGTTATGAAAGCAAACCAATTTTCGATTTTCATTTAGCTTTGAAGAATGCCGCGTCTGACGTTGGTTCAACGTTAATTCGATGAGCAAAATCAACGTTGTTTAAATGTCATGAGAGACGTCGTTTCCACGTTGATTCAATGTCAGTTTGCTGTCTGGGACCGGTCCTACTCGACCCGATCGGAGCTGGATTCAAACCGACGTCTGTGATATGGGAGGTGGGCATGCAAAACTGACACAAAAGACCTCAGCCTCTAGCTCTTGAGGCCAGGGGAGTGAAGTTTACACGCACAACTGTTACTCGCTTGCCTCCTTTACACTTACCCCAATAAACCTCACTCGCATCCGGGTCACGGCACCAAATGTTACCAGTCTAACTCGACCTGCTCTGAGCGGGATCCGAACCAGTGTCTCTAGCATGGGAGCCAGACTCGCTAACAAGGATGCCAAAGATCGTAGTCTTTAGCATCTCTAGCATCAGTTACTACTAGCATGACTAACATGACCAATTTTTAAAACTATATCTTTATTGTTATCATTATAGATATCCTTGGTATGAACGCGCATTAAACGTTCACAACAAAACTGAAGTATACTTTCTGTTTTAGCTATGGTAAATGCAAATTGCCTAAGCGAGCGCCATTAATATTAGCATAGCCTGCCTCGTTTTACCCCCACACAATCCAATCAAATACCGATTAAAAAGTTTCCTTTCCATAAAACAAAGACCACAACAAATAAGCCACCTCATAAAATACTTTGATTATGACACAGACAAACTGTTTCAAATAAGCAACAAAGAACATCAGGCTCTTTAAACAGATGTACTGTTCAGGTCTTACAGTTCAGTGCGGTGGGCTTGTCACTGCAGTCACCCACATTTCTCACAATAATTAGCAGCTAAATGAATCCAAACCAGAAAAAAAAACTCAGAGAAAATATTTACCCAGCTCAAGACCAAAGACTTTGGAGTTCCCCTTTGACTAAACGCTGCTTATTTTCCCAAAGAAACCACACACATATAACACTGTGAGGAGTAAAACTCCAATTAAATTCATCTGCTATACTGGATTAGCTCATATGTTTGCTCAGAAGGTTATGAAACTCAGCACCTAATGAGCTAGCAATATCCGTTCTTCATGAGCTGTGCATTAGAAGTTTCTCCGAGCAGCTTTTCAACAAGTCACTGCCTTTGGCATCGACGCGCAGCCAAAACGGATGCCATGTGCTAATATTTCAACAAGTCATTTTTTTCACAATACACAACTTTAGTGTTTAGCATCTGAGTACGCTATGCTATCCCGTCTTACGTCAGCATGAATTCAGCTGTGCGCCTTCTCATGTGTGTAATAACCGGGTGTAAGACATTCTGGTTGCTAGTTTTCCATCCTATTTATTGTCTGTGGTCTATGAAGTTGGGAAGGGCCCATGCTAATGTAGGACAGCTGTAATATATCTAGTCAGCTTTGAACTGCACAAAGCTAACAGTGGCGTTCTGTATTAAAGCAGCTGTTTGGAATTGAGTAATTCAATAAAAAGTTGTAATACAAGCTCTGGATATCCTATATGCAGTTACAGTATCCGTTACAGGTTTTCAGGTCAATCAGCCACTATAAATACAGTGTATCATGTAGCATTTGTAGGCTATGAAACCTAGTGAAGATGTTAAAAAAGGCTGTCTAGGTAGATAGTTTACTAGGTTTCCAGACGGTAATTCACCAAATAGTTGCACAAAAGTCCCACAACCCACATTCCCGTTGAAACAGGAGCTAAATAGGCAAAAATTGCACTGTGCTGTATTGAAATGAAGGCTTGTTATACCAAACACTGTGTCTGTTAGCATTAGCATTATTATCATGCAGAGGTATAGTGTGGCTAAACTGAACATGCTACACAGAATGTTAATTCTATATGGAAAAGAACAAATGTACATTAAAAATAGAAAAATAAACTATGAAATTCAAATCCTAATTTGTCAAATGTAAGCTTGGACCAGTTAATGAAATGGTATTAGTCCATGCTAAAAACAGAGCTAGTCTACTAGCTTTAGGCTAATTGTACAACTAAATACTATCAAAACATTAAACCAGCTTTCATCAGGGAAGTATGTTCAGTCTTAAACTCTTAAAAACTAAAAGAAGTGTTATGCTGAGCACGAAAACACAACATCTAATAGAGATGTAATGGTGGATACGAGCGGTGTAAGACCACAGAGAAACACACACACACACACACGTCGAATCAGTCATGAACACAACATTGAGAACGAGACTGTGGCGTTTCACGATGATTAACAGTCAGCAGAGGCCATACTTTTCCAATCCTTTCACCTTTTATGTGGGTGAAAGTTTGGCAGTGGCGGCGGTAATGGACAAAACGTGAGAGAGGAACTATGAACGACCCAAACGGACTTTGACTAAGGATGGTAGTTGCCTAAATTGAAAACAAAAACACACTGTTTCCACGGCAACCTCACACATCCAGTCACTTGGATTCTGGCTGACACCAAGTTATTAGACATGCTAACATATCCTTGGTTAACTCACCATCCTATGAAACACGCACTCATACACTTCACTGTGCAGTGGAAGGTGAACCACAACTCCAGCTAAGCGTTTTCTAAAATGACCTTGTTCGCTCAATTTGAAATTGTACATAGCTATCCAAATGGACCTGAAAAGTCCAAGCTAAAAATGCATGTTTTGGACTGGAGGCTGTGAAAGCTTGGCCATATTGTGAACACATGTTTTCCGTCAATGTGTTTCTTTGACCCACTAACAAGTGGCAGAATATTTTTAGATGGCTAATACATTATGGTCATTCAAAAAACATGCAATCATTGTTCTTTTTTATCTTCCTTATGACAGACTGAGCAAAAAGGTTCAAGCCGTTAAATGGGGAAAACAACTATTTTAGCCAGTGGAGGGCAGTGTTGGCTCTTTTAAAGAGGTTGTACACAGCATGCTAACATGCTAATTTCACCATCTTTTACAGTGTATATCATGTATATTGTGTTCAGAATGCTTGGATTATCCAGATGACCTACTACTACAAAATGTAGAGCGCACAGCAAGGAATATCCCAGAATGCACTGCACTCAAATTGACTTAAAGGGATAGTCCACTTTTTTGGAAATAGGCTCATTTTACCACTCCCCCAGTCAGAGTTAAACAGTTGAGTTTTACTGCTTTCAAATCCACTCAGCCGATTTTCTGATATTTAGAAGAATATCAGTAACCAGACAGTTTCAGGTCTCATTGACTTCCATAGTTGGAAAAAAATATATACTATGGAAGTCAATGAAACCAGAAACTGTCTGGTTACTGATATTCTTCTAAATCTATTAAAAAAAAAATGGCTGAATACATTCGAAAACGGTAAAACCCAACTGTTTAACTCTGGGGGAGTTGTAAAATGAGCCTATTTCCAAAAAAAGTGGAGTATCCCTTTAACATTTCCAATGTGATGAGTGAACAACTACTATCAGCTGGGATTGGTCTCTTCTCGAGTCATTGTTTAATCATTATTTGTTGACATTTTACACAAAATGGTTAAACTAACAATTCCAGGGGAAGTGGTAGACACAATTATACTACTGTTAAAAAACATTGTTGTATGCGTTAGCTACTATGCTACTGGTTTTATTAAGAACATAGGAAGCAAGTATACATAGCATAGTATCATTTTGTTAGCATTGTATTGCTATTAGCATGTTCTGTTCACATAGCCAAACATAGCCTATACTTTTTGTACCAGCAAATAGAAAATAATTACTATTTGTTTATGTGACAGATTAGCAAGCTAGTTCAATCTTTCTTTGCTAACAGTTTTTGGAATCTCTTTTCCAAAATGGAAGCATGCTTTTATAATTTCCCACTGATTTACGTTGTCTGAAAGATAAAGATTTAGTGGTTACTTAAATGCCAAATGGCAAAAATGCCAACATGTGGCTAAATTTAGCTAAATTTAGAGTTTATATTTAATATTGAACCTGTTTGCAGCCAATCGATGGTATGTAGTGAACCACCAAATCCTTCTCTTTCAGACAAAACGATTCAGTTTGATGTAATAATAAGTTGACATGTCTTAATACCAATTCCACAAACCAAAAAAAAAAAAAAAAAAAAAGATTAGCAAGCTAGTCATTTTTTCTCCTTGGTAACAATGGCCTGTATCCAGGACTACCCTGTGTTTGTCCCACTGGGGGCCCCCAGTATGGATGGTGCCAGCCCTGCGTTCCAGCCATAGTGTGGATGGCGATGGGGCAATTTGTCCAGGGGGTGGGTGGAGATTGGGATCTCTAACCTCTGAGGAGCAAAAGAGGCCCGATTGGGGATATATCTGGAATTATAAAACTTCCATCCAAGCAAAGTGGTCGTGATCATTTTGTCTTGCGGAAGCCAAATAAGAATGTGTTTAAATGCACATATGTTGATAAACCGCCTATATGCAAATGTTTATTTTGAGTGTGTGTTTTTCAGGGAATCTCATTTGTGTCACAATAGAGCTCCAGAACTTTCTGAATGAAGCTTCTGTCCGGAAGAGGATTGGAGAAAAGCCATGATAATCCATGGCAACCATCACTCCACTTGGCCATCTTATGAACTTCACGACCTCACAGAGTGGATAGAGACCTTTATGGCTAGAGGTTTGGGACTTTGGCTGGACTAAAACGCACCATTCTCGTGTTTGTGTGTTTAATTGTTTAATAAGTCTTCAGCCAGACCGTAAATCTTCTTTTTGTTCAATATGCTCCATTTTCTATCAATATAGAGCCACTCAAAGAAATTGACTGATGATGATATGGCAATGTGCAAATCTTGCCAATATGATATTCTTGGCTCTACAACAGGAATATGGGTCATTGACAAAAAAGAAAATTGTATATAAATCCCATTTAAAAGGAATAGGACCAATATTCATCTATGTCTTAACAAATTTGAATTCGGCTGACAAGAGCTTACCTCTCAACCACATCTTCTCCACTCCAGCAGGTGTTTTCATCCATCACTACCTCCCCCTCGCACAGCATCTCTGGCAGGGTGGAGAAGAACGATTTGTATCGCTGAATGTAGCCCATAAACTCCCTGCAGGAAGTTCAGGCATTCAGGAAGTTATCATAAAGCATCAAACCAGGTATAATTATACACAACTAGTTCTGCCTCAGTCATCACGCTTTTCTAATCAAACATGCCCAAACACTGATAGATACAAGCGGCAGATTGGTCTCCCATGCTTGTTTGTGACTGTTATTAATGCTGACAGCGTTCTTCCTTGCTCACACATGTTCATTTGATGTCAGATTAATAATTAGAACATTCTTAGGCTGACAGCCAAAGTCATTTTTATGACAAAATAATTAGAGATAATTATTAGATTAAAAAATCTTAAGGGTACTATTGGAAATTCGTGAAACACAACAACCTGGAAGCTGAATTGCTATTTCTAGAAATGTTCATTGGTCCCCTTTAATACACACTTACTTTGAAATCTTTTTCAGGCTTCTGGGTTTGTTGTTTTTGGAAGGTTTCAGAGGTAGAGACCTGGGGTTACCGACAAGTGCAGATGTTAGACGAGACAAACAGCAGGGAAGTTACTAAATATAACCTGATTTGTAAGGATTTAAAGGAGTAGTTCACTTTTCAAAAAACTTTTGCTGATAATTTACTCACCCCCATGTCATCCAAGATATCCACGTCTTTCTTTCTTCAGTCGAAAAGAAATTAAGGTTTTTGATGAAAACATTCCAGGATTTTTCTCCACATAATGGACTTCAATGGGAACCAAACGGTTCAAGGTCCAAAAGACAGTTTCAGTGCAAACTGCAAACTGTTCAAAGTTTAAGTTTAATAAGCTCAAATGGTCGCAATGCGCGTTGGTGACTCTCTTGTTCGAACTCATCTATCAAAATGAACAAATCTTTTTTCGTGTCATTTGGTTCGAGTTGACTCGGGAAAAGATTAGTTCATTTTGATGAACGAGTTTGAATAAACTTTGTTATTTATTTTTTAAATGAGCGATTGTTTCGCCTGATAAGACCCTTATTCATCCTCTGGAATTGTTTAAAGTCCTTTGAACAGTTTGCAGTTTGCACTGAAACTGTCTTTTGGAGCTTGAACCGTTTGGTTCCCATTGAAGTCCATTATATGGAGAAAAATCCTGGAACGTTTTCATCAAAAACCTTAATTTCTTTTCGACTGAAGCAAGAAAGACATGGACATCTTGGATGACATGGGGGTGAGTAAAAGGGTCAAAATATGTTCAACAATTGATGCATGACATTTTCTCACCTTTTTTTTTGCGTTATGTGCTCATGTTGGTTGCCTGTTTCAGGTAGTGTTGTCGGACTGGAGGACGTGACTGTGGTTTGAAGTCCAATGGTGGGGTTTACTAAAGGAGTCAAACTTCTTGAGGCGAGACTGACTGGAGTGGAGGAAACCGATTCAGTCAAGGAACCACAAACTTTGCCAACCTGAAAGAGAGAGATGAGGAATAAAGATCCACTGAATTATGATGTGTTTGAAAAAAACATGGTGAATGGCACAATTTTAATCCTGCTTGAATCGACTCGCACCAATTCAAAGACATTACTCCATCTAGTGGCCACTGATAAATGGTACAAAAACAATCTTTTCAATTGGAACAGTCTTGCACAATAATCTCGAGGTTTAACTGTATTTAGATACTGAATTAACTTTTCTGTACATAAAATGCGTATTTATATTTGTTATTCACATTTTCATACACAGTATTTCACCATCGCAAAAAAAAACAACAACATAAAAATAAGATAAATCAAAAAAATAGTTTTGTTTTGCCGTATTTTACCATTTCATGTACCGAAATTTACAAAACAGGATGCCCATGTGAGCGTTTGTAAACGTGTTTGTATTTGTATATATTCTGCAGCGCTTTATTTATCTAAGGATTAGGCGAACTTTCTCATTCCCCTACTCTGGCCCCTCGCTAGCTGCATTGCATTTTGGGAAGGGGCCGGCCAGTTCACGGGAGCCGTCTTTGTCCAGAGGTGAATTTGCATGCAGGACATCAGGCTAATTGGGACCAGACAACACCCAAACAACTCAAGCAGCACCAAGATAGCACCAGACCACAAGCAGCGTGAGGGACTGGAGAGGCACCATAGTCCTCCATGTCAACACTGGATGCCACATATAGACATCTTATAAACAATTAAGTTGTTCTTTAGAATCTCTCTCTCTCTTTTTTTTTTACAATTAGCAGCAGCCAATTTAGCTAGACGCCAACATGGACAAGTAGCGTGACATTCCCTCTTCTTCGAAAACCAAAATAAAAATAGCAAAAGTACCACTTCAAATAAGGACTTACAAAGATGGTTATTAGTGGTTGAGCATAAGGCTGTAAATTTATGTCAAATGTAAACTCCGGGTCCCAAAGCAGGATCACCAGCGTAAAGTGTGTTTTTGGGGTTGCATCTAACAACTTTTCTAGAGCTCTTGTCCAACCCATAAGACCAGGTAACGTGAAACTAAAGTCATTCCAGCCTCGTGGCATCAGTGAGTGAGCAACACTTGATCCATCGATGGAGTGTTAAAGGGGGGGGTCGAACTCCCACAAGCAGCCTCCATTGTAAAGTGGTAAGCTTGGTGTTGGAGTTTATGGGACCTGCGGTTGAGGGCTTAAGTAATAATATCTCTCATTCTGACTGGCAAGTCTATGCCCTTTGAAACAGATTTGTGGGAATGCGGTCTCAAACTTGACCTACCCATAGAGAGCTGTCAGCACCAGGACATGATAGGTGCAAAGCCGAGCTGTCACGAAACCCTTGACCCCTGCGTCCCCCTCAGTCACAATTCCAATGAAATAGTGAAGTGAGAGAGACTGGCAGACGGCCGTCCTATGGCGTGCACGCAGACTCTGGCGTTGATGGTATGAATAGCCTCAGGGCTGGGTATTCACTTACAGACAGCCATAGTCACACTGTCATGACCAACACGTTTTTTACAGAACGTGTCGAATTACCACATAATCATTGAGCTATTAATAAATCCCTTGCAGATATATATATAATAAATCAGTGGGCTCCATTGTGAAAATACAATTTTTTAGGCTAGAAGCTAATTTATAAGACTATTAGCATGTTCAACACTTGCAACTCCACAGCCTATGATTGGCCGAGACATTTGATATCCACCAATCAGCGAACATGCTGCTGCAAGTTGATGCGTGCCCAGCCTGATTAGTCCAGCATATGGTGGTGTAGCTCGTTTGTGGAATAAAAATAAATGTGTTCTATGAATCAGAGAGTAGCATGACTCACCACGGCGCTGAGATGTGGCCCATGCAGTTGCGCGTTAAGGATGGCATCATTAATTCTTTCCCGGATGCGTAGAAGTGCCAGTTCCAATTCGTATCCCCCTGCTAGTGCCCCGCTCAGCACTTCCAGCAATGCTACATAGTGTCGCCAGGGCCTGTCCAGCTCAGACAGGCCTGTCAGGCACCCTCGCATCACATTGAGACACAGCCCTCCGCATGGCCGGATCAGGGTCAGTCCGCGGCAGTGCGGGCAGAACAACATCCCCACCAGTGCACGTCCACACTGCTTTGTCAACCCCACCGACTCGGTGACATTCAGAACCTCGGCGCCCATTGCCAGCGCCCGATTGAGGGCACGACCAGCCACAAGTGCACTAGACAGTCCCCGAGCAAGTGCCTGTGGGTGAGGGCCGAAGGGGTTGACGTCATGCCTTGTGGCACGTAGGCACTCGCTTCCTTCGGAGGACCAGGTAGAAACAGGAGAGCCCAAGCCAGGATTGACCAGGTGTTGGTACACCAACGGGAAGAGTTTGTCATAGAAACTGTGGACGGATTGTTCCACGGAGATATTGGCATCGCCACGGAGGTAGAGATCAAGGTCCGAGAAGAGGGTGGACACTAAAGGTCTTGCGTCTTGAGAGATTGTCTTGTAGGTGCTGTCAAAGAGCGAGTAGGTATTGTTTAGCGTGAAGGAGAGTAGGGAATGGAAGGTATCTGTGGGAAGAGAAAATAAAAGACATGACATGAACAGCTATTTCATAGTCAACCGAGAAGAGGGTGACATTTATGGAAGCTTGTTTCCGCCACTGAATATAAAAATAAAATAAATAATTGTGACTTTTTATCTCACAATTCGGACTTTTTTTCTCACAATTGCGAGATAAAAAGTCAGAATTGCGAGATAAAAAGTCAGAATTTGCAAGATATAAAGTCGCAATTGCTTGTTATAAAGTCAGAATTATGAGAGAAAGTAAGAAACACATAATATAAAGTCAGAATTTTGAGATATAAAGTCTGAATTTCATGATATAAAGTCAGAATTGCGTGATATGAAGTCAGAATTCTGAGAAAAATTACAGAAGTGCGACTTTTTATCTCACAATTCTGACTTTTTTTCTCACAATTGCGAGTTTACATCTCGCAATTCTGACTTTATATCTCGCAATTCTGACTTTATATCTCGCAATTCTGACTTTATATCTCGCAATCGTGACTTTATATCACGCAATTGCGACTTTATATCTCACAATTCTGACTTTATATCACGCAATTCTGACTTTATATCTCGCAATTCTGACTTTATATCCCGCAATTCTGACTTAATATCTCGCAATTCTGACTTTATATCTCGCAATTCTGACTTTATATCTCGCAATCGTGACTTTATATCACGCAATTGCGACTTTATATCTCACAATTCTGACTTTATATCACGCAATTCTGACTTTATATCACGCAATTCTGACTTTATATCTCGCAATTCTGACTTTATATCCGCAATTCTGACTTTATATCTCGCAATTCTGACTTTATATCTCGCAATACTGACTTTTTATCACGCAATCGTGACTTTATATCACGCAATTCTGACTTTATATCTCGCAATTCTGACTTTATATCTCGCAAATCTGACTTTATATCTCGCAATTCTGACTTTATATCTCGCAATCGTGACTTTATATCACGCAATTCTGACTTTATATCTCGCAATTCTGACTTTATATCTCGCAATTCTGACTTTATATCATGCAATTCTGACTTTATATCTCGCAATCGTGACTTTATATCACGCAATTCTGACTTTATATCTCACAATTCTGACTTTATATCTCGCAATTCTGACTTTATATCTCGCAATTCTGACTTTATATCTCACAATTCTGACTTTATATCTCGCAATTCTGACTTTATATCTCGCAATTCTGACTTTATATCTCGCAATTGCGACTTTATATCACTCAATTCTGACTTTATATCACTCAATTCTGACTTTATATCTCGCAATTCTGACTATATATCTCGCAATTCTGACTTTATATCTCGCAATTCAGATTTATATCTCGCAATTCTGACTTTATATGACGCAATTCTGACTTTATATCACGCAATTCTGACTTTATATCTTGCAATTCTAACTTTATATCTCACAATTCTGACTTTATATCTCGCAATTGCACCTTTATATCTCGCAATTCTAACTTTATATCTCACAATTCTGACTATATCACGCAATTCTGACTTTATATCTCGCAATTCTGACTTTATATCTCGCAATTCTGACTTTATATCTCGCAATTCTGACTTTATATCTCGCAATTCAGAATGTCAGAATTGCGAGAAGTAAACTCGCAATTGTGAGAAAAAAAGTCAGAATTGTGAGATAAAAAGTCGCAATTACCTTTTATATTTTTCATTCTATGGCGGAAACAAGCTTCCATAGACATTCGTAACATGAGTGGACTAACAATTGCGGTGATTTTATTTGACATTTAAGAGAGGGTCAAACATAGTCTGTTGCCTTGTCTCACATTGCTTACAACTCTTTCTTATGCATCTAATCTCTCTTTCCATTGGACTAATGGAAGCTGACAACATTTAATCCGTGGATCTTTTGGACTGCCGCTATTGGGCCGAAGGTTAGTTTGGAGATATGTGACACATGCGACTAGCTTATTACCAATTTTAGCAGTCAGGGCGACATCTTATACCTCAGTTTGCCTACGGGGTCCAAATGGATCATAGTCAGTTATACCATGCACATTATTTACAATGGCATATTAACTTTTGTAAGACATGTGACTGACGGGTACTTAAGTAGACAGCTGGTAGAAGCCTTCAAAGTGCAGTTTGCTTTAGTGTCATCTCATTCACAACAACCAAAGCATTCCAGCTCTGTCTTATTTCTGTGAGAATGACTAGCATACTAACACCAAGCCAAAAGTTATGATTCCTCTTTATTGATGAAGGAATAAAAGAACACCTGTTTTGCCAACGATACTAAGACACCCATAAGAATCATTCTATTACAAGCCTTTGAGGTTTTGCAAGAAAATATGCCTAAAAATTCAGACTAGGGTGTATCTTGGCAACTACATCCAAACAGGTATCAGGTGACGTGGCAGGGGATTATGCCTGGATCATGTAATGGGGTTCTTCTCATATGGTTCTGGGTGATGGAGGCATGTGGGGGGAAGTCATGCAGATCGCAGGGGTCATTGAGGGCGCCTGAGAATCACCACAACTGACCTCTAACCTCCGGGACAGCAGAATGTTCTGAGAAGATGGATAGATGGGTCAACTTGGATGACTGAACCCCTGATAGCTCTATTAACTCAGTGCCTGTTGGATTTAATATGGGTCCTTCTTTATAGTCAGACTAACTCCACTCACTGTACCCAGTCCAGGTCTGAATTTAGATCAAGAGAAGGAGGCACACAGTATTTTTAGTGCCTTTTGGATAGCTAGTATGTGAGAAGCATATGTTGGATTTGCTTTACAATGGAATTACTCCAGTACAAAGGGCAGAGATGACTTTTCAGATCAACAAAATCAAACATATTTGGTTCTCACGTCTTCTCATTGGGGTATTTTCTTGACCTCTCCGTTTTCTTCCATGGAAGACAGAAAATCATACTGATAAGAACAGAAGTTTTAGGCGAACTAAGACTTGAACAGACACATTCCCAAAAAGAGTCCAAAAGGTTTGCACTTGAATTATTACTTTCCCCCTTAAACACACAGCCATATAGACAAAAAGCGATCTACATTAAAAATCCTCTTTCACGTGGGAATGAAAAACACTTTACAGACCTTCTTTCTTTCAAACAGGACACCAGCTACAACCATGCGAAAAGTAGCAGAAAAGGACAACTGATCTTTTCAAAAGCTCTCATTATAGAGCAATACATTGAAGTGCAGTGAGACGGATCTCCACGGATACGGCAAGAATTTCAACATTTCTCTCTTGGTTTGCTTTAAACTCGTTAAATATTCACTCGGCCGGCAGCGAAGACAGAGAGGACAGCGGCTGTGCCCTTTTCCTATGAACCTGAAAGGGTTTTTGTGCAAGTTTGGGTGGACAAATTGGATGAACTTAAATATTTGGTTGGGCGAGGTTTTGGAGTTGTAAATTTGATGGTTTATAACGTCATATGTTATCAATGGAAAAACCACTGGAGTAGAGCTAAGCGTGTGTGTGAAACAACTTTCTGATTGGTTCTTTTTGTACGTTTTATTCAAACACTGATTCTGAAAGGCCTAATCCTACAGTACCAGTCAACCTCTAAGAAACACATGTACGGCTTCACAGGAGACCTCAGACAGATAAAGGATCATTCTGTGAGCGTGAAAAAGAGAGAACAAAAAGCAAATCTCCAAAGTCACAGTATACGACTCATGAGATTTTAGAGTATCCATACATGCGTACAAAGCTACATCATGTAGTGAACGTGTGAACCACCTGCTGTGGCCGGGACTTGATCCCATGACCTCTTGCTCTTGCTGCAAATGCTAAAAAAGCATCTGACCAAGTATCTATTTGACAAAAGACGTCACTAAATATCGATACATACCCTGGAACGTAGAGGCATGGCCCAAGATGAGATATTTGAGTTCGAAGCTATAGGAGAGAATGGTGTGGTGTGTGTCTCTCTGGGCGGCGGCGTAGTAGCTCTCCTCCATCTTACGGGTGCAACATGTGGGACCCTGGTGTTTGCAGATAAGAAGATCTGCATCTGTGGAGGATCAATATAGTATTTATTGTAATACATGTATTACATCTATTACATGTAAATAGTATTTACAGTATGTGATCATACAAATGTTTGATTTGTTTTTACCCTACCTATTTTTGACGTTTCAGTTATTGTTTTGCATATCGTAAATTCATTTAGATTTAAAATTTGACTTTTTTGCTGTTTAATGGGAGGTACCGACTACAACTAAACATTTTGATCATTAACCGTCAAGTTGATTTGGAGTGGATTTTTTTATATTTTGTGTAATTTATTTTATATAATTTGTACACATACTGTAAATACCAAAAAAAATAATAATATGAGTTTCAAATTAATTATTAGAAAAAAAAAGTACAACATCCCTTATTTTAACAGTTTTTATAATTTTACTACAGAAATAAAAAAAAAAATCTGGATGAACCTACGTTTATAAGTTCTGGAAAAAGTGACCTTCAGCACTTAAAAATTAAGACAATATAATTAAAATTATATGATCTATAAGTTATGACAACATTATGTTTTTACATTGCTTTAACTCAACAAAAATAAGTTAAAATGATTTTATAAAAAATAAAAAAGTAGAAAACTGCTTAAGTTGGTTTAATGTAATTTAAGTTGAAATAAATTAAACATTCAAGTTGATTTTACATAAAAATATAATGCTGCAATTTTTGTACAATAAAGGGACACAACAAAAAGTTACAGATTTAATTATTTAAAAATACAATCATGTTTCTAAGCATTTTTAATGATATGATATTAACTTTAACTTGATATTATGATATTAAAATAATCATATGGGACAGAAATAACACATGGTTGTACAGCAAGAGAGTGCATGTAAAGAGAGCACATGTGATCAAGACAGACGATATCTGCTCTGTCAGTCACCCTGCCCTATCCTATGTAACCAATTTTACACCAATGGGACCCCATAAGCCACGCATTAGAACAGCTGACTGTGATCACCGACATTCTGCTGACCTCTCTCACCTCCTCTGCGCTTAATACGCATCGAGCAATGCCTCAAAACGTAGCTACGTACTAAGAATAAAACTTTGTTTTGTAATGGTCATACTTTTCTAATGTATCCTTTCCATAAACAAGAACTTGAGAAACTAAATATGCCCAGCTTACAATTTCGTAGGAACACACAAACATTTTTGAGATGCCTTCTATTCAGGAATGCGTTTTTGATTTAACACGAAATGTGGAACATGAAAAACATTTGACAGTGTATCCTACACTCCTAATTTTGTCAACACCACTGACATTTCTGATTTATGCTCCGTAATCACGACTTATTTGTTAGACAACACTTTACATTACAGTTCACACAATGTAGCCAGTAGATAAACTAAGATAGCCTAATATACAAATTAATATGCAAATATTTTTGGATATTTAATTAATTCACACATAACTGTCTGACTTGCTATAACTCATCTAAACAATATATTTTAGGCTATTATGATGACCTCATATAATAAAAATATGAATAAACTTTTAAAAATTTGACAAGACTATTTAAATTAAGTGGAAAAGGCGACTAAATGGTCAAAAAAGGGAAAAATGATCACTCACAATATTTATAAGAAAATTATAAAGATGATATAGGCCTGAAAGTTTAAAGGTATACCTCACCCAAAAATGAAAGTTCTGTCATCATTTACTCACCGTACAATTGCTCTAAACCTTTAGGAATTTATTTCTTCTGCTGAATACAAAAGAATATATTTTGAAGAATTTGGTAAACAAATGACGGCTTACCTTGGTTTCATTACCAACATTCTTCAAAATATATTCTTTTGTGTTCAACAGAAGAAAGAAACTCATGATTTTTTTTGTGAGACATCTTTTATTTTATTTTAAAGAAACTCATGATGACAGATTTTTTTTGTGTGTGTGTGTGTGTGTGTGTGTGTTAATATCCCTTCAAGTCACGTGCATTTTATTAAAATAATTGTCAGTTTGGGGAAAGCTGTTACATGTATTTTTAACGTTAGAAATGTATATTCAATATTTTATTAATTAGGCTTATTTTACTTTGCGAAAACAATGTTTTATTGTTGTTCATTTTTTAGGTTATTGTTTTTACGATTCGTTATCGTGTTACGGTTCAAATTTAGGCAAAAATTAGCCGTTTAATGGCGACAACATGAGCACATATTGGTCATCGTGTGTTCAGTTGGCGGTATTTTTTTCTTAGTAAGTACCGTTAAACTAAATAAAGAAAGCCAGTTGGGAATAATGTGGAGAATATGTTTTATGTGTTATATTAGATACCGCGCGCTTCCCACAGTAACAGTAACGTTATATATAAACGAACCTGTTGCTGCGGTCTCCGGAACCCATCTTAATGAACCGACTTGGCGCAGCTGGAAAGCGGTTTTAACCTCATGACAGCTCTGCCCACTGGCGCAGTGAACTCTCCATACTAACACACTGGAGAGCAGGATCCACAACCAACATACACGCGGTGCTGTCCTGCGGAGCATTGCACCATCTCAGTCCAGAGAAAGCCCTCTGAGCCAATGTGTGAGAAAGAGGGGAGGAAAACCGTCAAAATATTATCCGGAAGAGATGCACATTTAAAGCCGCTTAATGAAGTAACGTTATCCAGGGAGAAAGTTTTCCAATCTGGTGGATCGCAGGGGCTTCACATGCTGCGTGTTTTGACAGACTAGTCTGGAGACATGTGAGGAAGGGCCCTGTGTGTGTGTGTGTGTGTGTGTGTGCGCGCCCAATGTGGAGAAAGAGACTTCTGACTGCCAGTTTTGTGCGCCCAACACCCATTGGACCCCCCTCCCTTTGGGATAGATAGATAGATAGATAGATAGATAGATAGATAGATAGATAGATAGATAGATAGATAGATAGATAGATAGATAGATATTGTTGGTTTAACTTAAAGAAATTAAGTAACCTGCTGCCTTAAAAATTTAAGTTCAATGAAATGGAAAAATTGAGTTAATACAATGAAGGTTATTGATTTAATCATCAGAAACTACATACATTTTTTAAGTTGATTTGACAAAATAAATAATGCTGTGAACAAATCATGAAAATATTTTTTTTCAGTGTAGATAGATAGATAGATAGATAGATAGATAGATAGATAGATAGATAGATAGATAGATAGATAGATAGAAAAGAAACGGCAATAAATAAAGAAGAAAGAAGAAACAAATACTCTAGAAATATGCACTCACACGTTTAGCTCACACCGTACAAAATGTTTGAAAAATCCTGATATAAATTATTAAAAAGGGCCGTCTGGAAATGGGTGAAATTAGTTTTTGCACAACCACTCTAACGTCAACTGAATGTAAACTATTCTCCACAAAGGCAAATTAATAACTCACAGACACAAATACACAGACTCTGTACACACAGACTCAGACACACACACACACACACACATACACACAAGAATGTAGCCCATTTAAAAGTCATATTCACAATAATAGCAGCTTAGTTACAGTTGACAAATCAATGATTACATTAACTATCATTTTCAGAAACTGGATATTTGAAAACCATGTTGCAAAGTTCAACTGTTATTTAGATTCTAATGATTTAGTTGTATCCTACTTGCAAAAATAATTTATACAACTCTAACTATGCACACAGATAATAAAATACTACAAACTCAAACTGTATTACTATTATATATATATTACTATTATATGGTATATGGTTTATAGTGGTTTTAATTATTGTTTTGTTGTGTATTTATGTTGATTGTTTGAGAAGAAAGAAAGAAAGAAAGAAAGAAAGAAAGAAAGAAAGAAAGAAAGAAAGAAAGAAAGAAAGAAAGAAAGAAAGAAAGAAAGAAAGAAACTCCCGTCTCAAGGGTTATAGGTTAGCCTATATCATGTTGAGTCGCTAGAAGGCGCGATGTTGTCATTTCACAAAACATATTTCATGAAGATATCATTAAACCGCTTCTCCACTAGATGGCAATACAAAGCAAAATAGTGTTTTTAGCCCCCGCACATGGCGAGCAGAAGGAATAAAAAACATGTCATGTTATGCAGTTCACACTTTGGAGTGACAGCCAAACGTCTATAAAGAAACATGGCCGGGAACATAAAAGATAAAGAAGCATATCAACGCCTGAACTTCCTCTATCAGGTTAGTTAACGATAGATTTTTTTCAGATCTATTTGATTTCTTTATCTCCAAAGATTCTCATGAGGTTTTCTCGACCCCAGGCTGCTCACTGCGTTTTGGCTCAAAATCCAGAGAATATTGAACTAGCAAGATTTTACTGCTTCACTCAGAAGACCATCTCTAAACGACTGGTGCTCAGACAGTGAGTAGTTTCTCATTAATAACGTGGATTATATATTATAAACAAATATCAGTGACTGATGGAGCTTCAACAAAGTATGATGCTTTTTTCCTGACAGAGATCCATCAGTGAAGAGAACCATTTGCAAGAAATGTTGCACTTTACTGGTACCAGGTGTCACATCCACTGTAAGACAAAAAAGTAAGTATCTATCTATCTATCTATCTATCTATCTATCTATCTATCTATCTATCTATCTATCTATCTATCTATCTATCTATCTATCTATCTATCTATCTATCTATCTATCATAACAATGATATTAAATCTTAATATTGAAGGAGGACCAAGACGACAACGCAAGACTATTGTACGGTGTTTAAGTTGTGGACTGACCAAACGGTTCCCAAACAACCCTAAATATAAATTGTGGGTGGATCAACCGGAGGCTCAGCTAGAAAACCAGACATCACAAGGTAAAGATGATCATCGGCTGTCTTTGATCTATTTTTTTGTCTTTAGTTTTAAATAAAAGTGTGTGATTTCCAAGAATGTCCAACTGGTCCAACCTAGAAAGACCTTCATTAGCATTTCTTTTCATCTCTTGGCTGACTCACTCTATATATATATATATATATATATATATAATTTTAGCCAATCACCAGAGCTGTTTGTGACACAAAAATCCATTTTGATGTCTATTTTACGCCTTTAAACATCCTCAGTTTATTTGTTGCTTAGAAAAAGTATAACAAATTGGTGTGAAAAATAGCATTTCTGTGTATCTTTTCATAGCAGGGAAAGCTGAGCTAACATTCTAATCAGTTATAATGAAATAATATCCTAATCTACACATGGATTTCTCGGCAACGTCATCACAGCTTGCTAGCGCACATATCCGGGAGGCAGAAAAAAGACGTGTTTCTTCGTGTAGTAGGCTAGTAGGAAAGTGGTGGTGTCTGTAAAATGCCAACAAGTGTAACGTAACTTATATAAAAGCAAATTCGGGCTTTCCAGTAGATGCTGCACTGCTGTATTACATTACTAGCCTTACATAATACATACATATATTACAGTAACACTGCAAAATTAAAGACAGACAAACAGATCCAACTAAAATCACATTTTTTTGAGTCAGCAGTTATATACAAACAATAAGGAAAGCTTCTGTTGCAGTAGCGGACCAGCTCACCAATCTGGTTTTTTGCCTCTGGTATGTTGGTAAACCGGAAACCCATGTATTGGGCTAGAAAGAGTTTTCATGAAACAGCTTCACAACCCATCTTTTCAACCTCATAGTATCATTATTTCTGTGGTGCAATAGTTAAAATGATTATATAAGTACTTGGATTCAGCTTTTGATAGAAATTTGGTACTTAAAATAGTGATTACATTGTTTCGCCACTAAGTGGCGACAAGTGACTGTTAAAAAATGCATTCGTTATTGAATCATTTATTCCAGAAAGTAGTATTGTACGATGCTTCTGAAATAATAATCTGAAAAATGTGATGATTTGTTTTTGAAAATATGATATCTTATACAACACCAAGAGTATGGTTTAACTTTTCCCTATGGTCTAGTGTTAAAAATGACAAAACATGGAAAGCTAAGTGGCTAACCTGTGAGCTAAAAAAGAACAACAAATGCTACAAACAAAACAAATTCCTTTTTGTAGCAGTAAAAGCTATCAAGTTAATCTATTACTGGTATGGTACAATAACAGCTAATCAGTTAGAAGTAACAAAGCTAATCGGCTAACCAGTTAGCTAACAAACAAAACAATGTTATGTTAAGCTAACAAGCTAATCGGTTATGTTAAGCTAACAAGCAAATATTCCCAGTTGTAACAGTGAAATAAATACGTAAGTGAACATTCTGCCAAAGTGAGAGCGAACATGTTCAGTTCGAAGGGCACTGTAAAAGTCGTAGGGAAGTAGGAAACATCGATACAACAGTTCACAGGAAGAGGAGAGTGAAAATCACCCAACTGACATCACGCATGGACTTTTAACACCGTGTTCAGGGAGTAGAGCAGTCAACACTGTTTAGAGACCCTGTCGATCGGGACGCACCTTTTGAGAGCTGGCTAATCAGCTAGTGATGTTTATATCTAGCATGTTAATCTGGTTGTGGTATGTTAAAAATCGCAGACTAATCAGTAATTGAATGTTACATACAATTAAATATTCCATGTGACTACAGTGGCTCAAGTATAAGTTTATCAAGTGACGAGAATACTTTTTGTGCGAAAAAACAAACAAAAATAACGACTTTATTCAACTATTCCTTTTTCGTCCTTGTAGGCCTGAGACGAGAGTTCAAGAGATTTCCCCGGCGCATGCGCGAGAACTGCTTTCTTCTAGAGCCCGACCGATAAAGGATTTTTAAGGCCGATACCGATACAAATATTTTTGGGTTTTAAAATCCGATATATCGGCCGATATTTTATTTATTTATTTTTTTTAAACTGGACATGATAGTCACAAATTTTGTCATGCTTATTTGAGTTAAGAGAACTGATGGGGATGATCTTTTAATTGTTATTCAAGCAACGTATGTATCGTGAACAATTCAACGAGTGTTGCCAACAGGAACGGTGTAGAGTGCCCTCTGGTGGACAAACTATACAACTCCAACACTCTTGACATGGTTCAAGCGTGTTTTGTCTGTTTTTATGTTATTTTTATTTATTCCATTCATTCAAATATTCATTTATCGGCCATTATAACTGCCGATACCGATAGTTTGGAAAATGCCTAATATCGGCCGATAATATTGGTCTGCCGATATATCGGTCTGGCTCTACTTTCTTCTACTACTTCTTGTTCAGTTCTCGCGCATGCGCCGTGGAAATCTCTTGAACTCTCAGGGATGCATGGGGGCGTGTAATTAATTACTTAATTTTCATTTTTGGGTGAACTATCCCTTTAAGAGGCTGACGCATGTTAAATGAATCGGGTAACTAATTAGCTTGTGAGGAACAGAAAAAACAACAATAAATGTTTATTTGACAACATGCATCAAAAGCAATTTTGTACAAATGACACCATCGACTATTATTATTATTTTTTTTTTAGCATTTTATCTTCTAATATCGCAAAGAAACACCATACACTCTCTTTATTATGTCTACAGTTGCTGGTCCTTCATCTAAGTCCACAACCCAAGGGAAGAAATCGGATATTTCAAGTGGTTCAGCGTCCACAACCGCGAAGAATTCGTCTGCAGCTCAAACAAATCTGACTAATCCTTCATGACACTCACTTTGAGACTGAACACATACATTAATATGGCTTGTTTAACAAAGTGGATGTTTTTTTAAATTAGAATTATAGTTTTTTTTTTTTTTTTGCAGCCAGTTTTTACTTTCCTGACAGAATGGGCTAAATGGTTTTCCTTCCGCATTGAATGGATGTTTTGAATTGCAATTAAGTATTCACAATGTAAAAGGCTGATTTACATTGCTAATGACTTTTTCCTGTACTTTTTTTTTTTTGCATCCTTAAATATAATTGAACTCTGCACGACTTCCTTCTAAAGAAGCGTTTGCTTTTATCACCGGGAGCGTTTGGAAACCTGGTGGGAATTCAGTTGACTACATAAAAATGTATTGATCTACTGTTACTAAATTATCTCTTTATCCGAATCATCCTGTGGATATTTCAATTAGACACGCTCTGCATACTTGGTAACTTTAAAGCTTTTCAGAACATTTTGAACAATTTTTAAAAAAATTTTTTTTTCATCGAACTTCTAAAGCCTTAGGGATTTTTCCAGTCAGTTGATCTCTGATAGTCTCTTGATCTCAGGGTCGCACATATATCCCATGCTGGGCTTAAAGGTTTTGATATTTGAAGTTTCTGATGGGAAAAAAAGCCTTCTCTTCGCACCGCGCGCAATGCGTGTTCATGAATTATTCAAATTTGCGATCACGACCTCTCCATGTATCATGCTTCAAATCTTGGATGCTCAATTCCCGTTGCATATTCATGATATCCATCACCCTGGCGATAATGTATAAGTGATATAAAGATATTTACACATGTGAGTGTAATTCAGTCGGTGCTGATGTTGTTAATTGGATGGGATATGGATCTTGTCTAAACGCATTACAACAGCGCGGTCTGGAGGATAATGCATCTATGGGATGTCAATACGGCAAACACGGAAAGTACCACCATGAGGCTTCATCTAAGCCAAAGAATACCTCCCACTTCCTCGAATTAGAGAACCGAATCAATTGCCCTGAAGGCCAGAACGAGATGCATAGGAAGACAGGATTTAATTCAATTTGCATCACATAATGTCAGTGGGAGTGCATTAGAAATTAAAATCGTGTGGTTGAGGGATTGTGCTAAATGGATAAGTCCAGAGGCCCGCTGTATGGAAAAGCATCAGAGGTCAAAGAAAGGTCAAAAAGGTCTAGATGAAGTGTGTGGTTTACTACGCAGTACATTCTCATTCCCCGATCATTATCATTAAAAAAAAAATAATAATAATATTTCCGATTTGGATTTTGGCTAGTATGGAAGCTTGTTTCCGCCACTGAATATAAAAATAAAATAAATAATTGTGGCTTTTTATCTCACAATTCTGACCTTTTTTTCTCACAATTGCGAGTTTATATCTCACAATTCTGATAAAAAGTCAGAATTGCGTGATATAAAGTCGCAATTGCGTGTTATAAAGTCAGAAATGTGAGATATAAAGTCATAATTGTGAGATATAAAGTCATAATTGCAAGATATAGTCAGAATTGGGAGATATAAAGTCAGAATTGCGAATTCATATCTCTCAATTCTGACTTTTTTTCTCACAATTGTGAGTTTACATCTTGCAATTCTGACTTTATAACATAATTGCGAGTTTATATGTCGAAATTCTGACATCAAACTCGCAATTGCGACTTATCAGGCCAATTCTAAGGGGGGAAAAAGACTATATCTCACAATTCTGACTTTATATCTCGCAATTCTGACTTTATATGTCGCAATTCTGACTTTATATGTCGCAATTCTGACTTTATATCTCGCAATTCTGACTTTATATCTCGCAATTCTGACTTTATATCTCGCAATTGCGACTTTATATCATGCAATTCTGACTTTATATCTCGCAATTCTGACTTTATATCTCGCAATTCTGACTTTATATGTCGCAATTCTGACTTTATATCTCGCAATTCTGACTTTATATCTCGCAATTCTGACTTTATATCTCGCAATTCTGACTTTATAACTCGCAATTCTGACTTTGTATGTCGCAATTCTGACTTTATATCTCGCAATTCTGACTTTATATCTCGCAATTCTGACTTTATATGTCGCAATTTTGACTTTATATCTCGCAATTCTGACTTTATATCATGCAATTCTGACTTTATATCTCGCAATTCTGACTTTATATCTCGCAATTGCGACTTTGTATCTCGCAATTCTGACTTTATATCTCGCAATTCTGACTTTATAACTCGCAATTCTGACTTTGTATGTCGCAATTCTGACTTTATATCTCGCAATTCTGACTTTATATCTCGCAATTCTGACTTTATATGTCGCAATTTTGACTTTATATCTCGCAATTCTGACTTTATATCATGCAATTCTGACTTTATATCTCGCAATTCTGACTTTATATCTCGCAATTGCGACTTTGTATCACGCAATTCTGACTTTATAACTCGCAATTCTGACTATATCTCGCAATTGCGACTTTAAATCACGCAATTCAGACTTTATATCTCGCAATTGCGACTTTATATCATGCAATTTTGACTTTATATCTTGCAATTCTGGATTTATATCTCGCAATTGCGACTTTAAATCATGCAATTCTGACTTTATATCTTGCAATTCTGAATTTATATCTCGCAATTCAGACTTTATATCTCGCAATTGCGACTTTATATCATGCAATTCTGACTTTATATCTTGCAATTCCTAGATATAATATCAGAATTGCGAGAAGTAAACTCGCAATTGTGAGAAAAAAAGTCAGAATCTTGAGATAAAAATTTGCAATTACCTTTTATATTTTTCATTCTATGGTGGAAACAAGCTTCCATTGGCTAGATATGTGACCTGCATATATTTTCTTGATACTAATGGTTTGTAGCAGCAATGGAATGTTGAATGAAAAATCCAATCGAGATGCATCCATGCTTGCACATATCGGTCAATTTACAAACGCCTCTGAATGTGCCTCACCCAACAAGACCAGATTTGTTTATAAAGAATTTTAGAAATGACTGTTATGCTAATATTAATAAACAACATTTATACTGCAGCACATTTGTGATATTCCCAGTAAACACCAGTAATGCCACTGGTGCCTCCCCTGCAGGGTGCATATTGCCAATATATACTGTTGGTGCATATATTTTTCATAAGCTGTGAAATTACCTGACTCGTGCTGGCTGTTCCTCTGTGCTATGACATTTATTTTGGGTCTGCCATGTTCCATCTGAGGGAAAACAAAATCATTTCTGTGTTGTCAGAAATATAATGCATGCCCAATAGCTCCTTTTTCTTGATATTGTTCTTGGCAGGACTGGGAATTGGACAAAAAACAAGAATATTGGAGCAAAAAGAAATATCTGTCCACAAATATTGCAGTTACCCGAGGGAAACATTGTGGTATTGTAATTAGACCGTACATACATATATTTGAAATGTTAAAATTGTTACACTGCAGTTTATTCTGGCCAAGAACCATACAATTTAGCAGGAACAGGGGCCGATATTTCTGTCACGTAACGTTACTGCTCTGAGACATAAAGGTTGAGGATCCAAATGCAGTGTTTGTAGAACAGGGTAATGCAAACTACAGACAATGTCAAACTGTGATGTTACATTATGACACTGAAGCTTTAAAGCGCTTATCAAGTAGGCTACGTAGCACAATTTCTCATGAAGCTCCATGTCGGCGTACGTTTTGTTTTCAGAGAGACACTTGATCAACGAAAATCGGCGCATCGATCGAAAAGCTATGCATTTTCCCCATAGACTTTTGGAAAATCGTAAAAAATAAGGTCTGTGTTCAACAAAGAGTTGTGACCCTTACACGTTTTGTCTAGCAAGATAATCTTTACAAGTTAATCCAAAATTTTTACATTTTGAAGCCCATATAAAGTTTTTTAAAAACACAAGCAGACACAGTAAAGATTAAAAAAACACAAGCAGGTTATAACTGTGTTTTATGTCATAGATCAAAATGTGAAAATATTTAGAGGCTTTGTTCACCACAGACCTTAGAGTACCGAAGTCACGACGTCACTGTAGGCCAAAACGCGGTGTGAGTTAATATTTTAGCACTCCCGGGTTCCCTCGCTCTAAAGCCTATGGGATTTTTTAATGGGTTTTTGCTAAAACACCTGAAATAAGGGTTGTGGTGAACACAAAGCCTCAAAATATTTTCACGTTTTGATCTATGACATAAAACACAGTTATAACCTGCTTGTGTTTTTTAAAATCTTTATATAGGCTTCAAAATGTCTAAATTTTTGATTAACTTGTAAAGATTACCTTGACAGACAAAACGTGTAAGGGTCACAACTCTTTGTTAAACACAGATCTTATTTTTTTTGCGATTTTCCAAAAGTATATGGGGAAAATGCATAGCTTTTCGTTCGAGGGAGCCCATGCGCAGCTAACTGCGTACTGTAGTTGTCCTACAAAGTGACGTCATCACTTTGGCACTCTATTCTCTTCCAACGCGCGATGGGTTGAGGGCAATATCAGCCGTTAGAGTGTGCACCGATCTGCACTTCGGATTCTGACCGGATATAGTAGACAATCCGGGTCTCTTTTGGAACACTCATTTCAACATACTACGATTTGGGACGTACTAATTCTATTTTTGAATACTATTTAGGACGGAAAGTAGCCTATGCGAATTGGGACGCATCGTAAGCCTCACTTTCTTTCCAGTCACGTGAATGTTTCACTTTGCGTGTTGGAATGTTTGAACCATACACTGTAAATTGACATATTATCCACAAGTTTCCGAGGGGCGCTCCTGTAAAAAATAAAGTGGGTGAAACTTCCGGTGAGGCGGCGGAAGTAGCATTCCAATGGTATTTTGTGTGTTAGTTAGCGAAGAGGCTAGCTGTTTTTCTGAGAATTATTTTACTATTTAAAGACGCAAATCTTTATGAGAGATGTCGTTACGGAGCTCAGGGACAACATGTGCTGTTCGCGGTTGTATGTATAACAGGACTAAACTAATTCAGTGGCTTAAACGTGATTGTTTTGAACATAAGCCGAAAACGAAATCAGAGTGATCCTGCTAACGACTGTAACGTTAGTTTCCATCACCTCCCAAAAGACGACGAATCTTCCTGTGTACATTTGTTTAAATTCTTAATATTCTATAAACTCTATCAGCATGTGTTTGGCTGTTCGCTACTGATGTTACACCTAAATTCAGGATCAAAGCCTGAGTGAGCTTGAATGTATTCAAGTAGCACATTCATTTATAATTTTGAATAAACTCCAAAGCACAATGACTAAGTGTGTATTTTTTATTTTAATTGTTTGTCAGCTCGCACAACTGTCTGTCACCATGCCTTGATGAGTATTGATTATTAAAAATTTTATTATAATACTCCCAACCAAGTAACTGCGGAGGGTAAAGGTACTGTTATTT